GTGACCAACTGAAAATAAGTAGCTAGATCTGAGTTTAATCAAGGATTTAAAAAAAAGTAATATTTGGGTCCAAGAATGATAAAACCTGTCAGAATCAAAAACCTTTTAAAATATCCAATTGAAATACACTTTCATAACTTCTTTAATTAAAAAGAACAGCAATGCAAAACTGAACAACTGCAGTGTTTCCCAAAGTTGGGGTCGGGACCCAAAGTGGGGTCCAGAAACATCAAGGTGGGGTCCTGAAAAGATTTTCTGAATTAATTACATTTTTTGACTTAGTTGTTACAAAGGAGTGTGGTTAGTGTATTTAAAATGGATAAATGTAGTCCATCCATCCATCCATTCATTTTCTGTACACGCTAGGGTTGGGCATAATCGCAGCGTGTGCAATTAATCGTCAGAAAAACATTAATCGATTATTATTTGGCACTTGACGATTAATACGATCAATGCCACCAGGCAGAGTTCGCTCAGTGCTCCTCTCTGCTTCAAATATGATGAACATAAAAAAGGTTCTGTAATTTATTTATCAACACAATTTAAAATTAGATGTATAGCCAGAAGTCTGTAATTTTGACACAATTTGGAACAGATTTTTATGAAGAGTAAATCTTTCCTACTAAACTGGTCAWGTGACTAGGACATAAGGGTTTTCCAGGGACTCCAGGGGATTAATCGTCAAATTAATCGTTATCGGCTAAATACCACAATTAATCGTGATTAATTTTTTTGTCAATATTGCCCAACCCTAGTACACGCTTCTTCCTTTTCAGGGTTGCGTGGGTCACTGGTGCCCATATCCAGCAGTCACAGTGCGAGGGGCGGGGTACACCCTGGACAGGTCGCAAGTCCATCACAGGGCCGGATAAATGTAGTATAAAAAATATTGTTACTATGCCCATGTTTTATTGACCTGATACAAATGTTTATCATCCAAAAATAGATATGGGCTCAGGTCTCTGCTACTGTTATTTTGTGGGTCAAAAGCTGAAAAGTTTGGGAACCACTGCATTTGGTTCCCAAAGTTGGGCTTGGGACCCAATTATGGGTCATGAAGCACCTTGGATTATCTCCAGAAATCAATTTAAAGGGTAATAAAATAATTGCTGGTGTAATATTTTCCTTATTACTATTACAAAAACACAAAATAAGTATAAATAAGTATTTATATTTGTGTACAAGCTGTTTAGATTGTCAAAAAAGCCTGTGTTTTTAGGGTTATTAACGAAGTTTGTGTACTGAGATCAGTAATATTTGGGGTCACAAGTTTTTGCCATGGATATTTTGTGGGTCAGAAGATAACAGGTTTGGGAACCACTGCTCTATAGCAAAATGTCTTCAATAGCAGGCATGTGTGGATTTATTCAGTCTATCAAGGGTCATATTTTGCCCACTAATTTGCAACCAGTTGCACATTTGGTTCCACTAGTTTAACATTTTGGTGCACTCATTCAGCAACACACCTGAAAACACCAATTAGTGTCACTCCAACTACTTGGAGCAGAAACATGCAAGTCAGCAGTTTTGTCCCATTAGTAGCCTAAAAGTCCCGACCAGTCTGTTTGTCTGTGTTACATAATTTCCTGTCCTCTTAAACACTGGCCAGTTGATGCAGATGGGTGTATATCACCAGCTTTAGCATTATATTATTGATTAGATCAATATAAGATGTCTCTCAATATCACAAAGTCTGTCATGAAATGATTTCGATTAAGTTCAAATCTGTGATCAAGTTGCGATATCATGTACCTATCATATATGATTATTTAATGACAGGGTAGGAATTTGCATATACAACTTTAATTTACCATCAGGTCAGATGGTAGATGAATGTGTTAGATGGGCATTTGATGATAATATGGATCAGTGTTTGTTTTGCCTTTGTGTAATTGAATCATTAATCAAGTTGATATATCGATGTGGACTGATGCATTGTTACACCCCTAATGGCTGCCCATCCTGAGCCCATCTGCTGGAGGKTTTTTTTCTGTTCCTGCAAAAGAGAGGGTTTTTACTTTTTTTCACTGTTGCCAATGTGCTGCTCRYAATGGAAGATAAAGATGAAGTGAAGATTTGGCAGAATAATGTTTGCTAATTAGCATTTTATGTGTTTTATACAGTGCCATAAATTGACTTTTGTTGTAAATTGGTGCTGCATAAATTGAATTGAACTGAACTAGGGGACCAAACTGCTTAATGACAACGTCATACAAATTAACTAGTAAGCAACAAAAATGCACAATATACAGTACTGTATCTGCATTAACATCGGTATTGGCCAATATTGGTCATTTTTTCATAATATTGGTATCAGTTCGATAAGTAAAACTGGCCCGATATTGGCATCCGCCATTGATTTCCCAATTTTTAGCTTTGTGTTTATAGTTGCGGGGGGAATGTTTGGTCCAGTGGTATCTGTTTGATCATGACTGTGTTAGTGATGATGTGCAGCCAGGAATAACTGAAGGAGAGAGCCATGTCAGCATCTGTTCTTTTTTATTTTACGGTATCCAAAAAAGACACAAATGTATTTGTGTGCATATAATAATTTATGTGTTTGTGCAATATTGGTAAATATTAAATATAACACCAATAATAATAATGGATATCGATATCGGCTGAAATTGTCATATCGGTGCTTCTGTAACAAAAACCCTTACATGTTAAGTAATCAACACAAATTCTAACAGTGCAACCTAAAAATATATAAAATCTTCATTAACAAATTAATTTAATCTTTGTCAACTAATCAGCTAGTGCAACAAAATTTGATGTTACTATTTAACTAGTCAACATTTAGGTGCAAAAGTCAACTAGTTTATTTTTTTAAATCTCTCAGATAGGCTGAAACTGACCATTAATAAACTGCTTTGTTGTTTAGTTTTGTTTTAAACTTGAATTCTGGGAGATTCATAAATTTGTTGCCAAATAATTTTAATCTTATTAAATGCATGAAAACATTCTTTAAAAAGAAAAGGGGGAAAATGGTTTTCCATTCAAAACCTTTTGTCAGGAGTGCAACTTATCCCAGGGCTCCTTCAAATCTGATTTATAAAMCTGTCATTTACTAAAGGTTCAAAATGGAAAACAATTTTAAATCAATAACTACAAATCAATGATCATTGCTGAARCTCTGCATATGAATCTGTTATTTATAGTACTGTTTAATAGCATCAGTCACAACCTTACACAATATTTTTGCATTCATATGCATATGTCATATGTCTTTTTTTTTACTCACTGAATCCAAGAGAATCTGTCATATTGCTGCTTGCCTATAGGAAGCTGTGTGCTGATTGGATGATGGCAAAGTTGTGTGATGTATTACTGCAGTGACTCACAGGAACCTTCTGTGCTGAATGCCCTCTTTGGCATTCATGCACAAGTGTTCCATTCAAATGCAAATATGCATACAGGAAAAAAAATCAATTCCTGCCATGCCTCAGTGGGTCTCCTTCAAAGTCGATGTGCAGAAATAATCATATTAGGACATATAGAGTGCAAATCAATGCTTAAGGATATATCTGAATGTTTTATAACACTGGTAAATTATTGAGTATGGCCTGTAAAGACCACACACACATTTTGGATGGATTATTTACTTGTGAGCATATGTCAAAGTCTTGCCAGGTTGTGTTGATAATATTTCTCCACATGGTGGCAGTCATGTCATTTTACAAAGACGTGTGGGACATGCAAAGTTTATGCTTCAACATTAACTGTTAATCATTTTAAAACCAAACACTCCCAGRAGAGATTTTAGGTTAAAAGAGAAAAAGCCAGGTTCATTTTTGGATTAATGTCTTTTTTTTCATTCATGAAGTGCTCAAAACCCCAAGTTACACAGAACCTTAGTACGAGCTTTCTGAAAAAGAGCAACTGTAATCTGCTGCTGATGGTGGATTTAATTTTGTGTGCTTTTGCTCTTATTGTTGAATATTGAGTGAATTGTTTGAATACGATCAAATGTCACCTTGTTTGTGACCGACCAAAMCTAACACTGGTGCAAATAAACATGCACCCACTGTGCACAAACTCATTTTCATGCTCATCTTGGGGCTTGATGTGTCCTAATTTCAAGACAAGCAGCCTGCCAACTTCAGTTGCCGCTGCCATCTCCTCTCCTCTGCAGCTTCGCTCAATTTAGACTAAACACAGAACTCATTATGCTGCTTCTAATGGCCACACTGAACATGCAAATTCAGGTCACAGGTTTGAGTTGTTCCATGCTTCTTAGAAACACCATCTGTAAAGTCCCTTAATGCAGCACAATGTAGGTGCACTCCTCAAACACATATTTAAATGAAACACATATTCAAATAAGCCTTGAAGGGCTTATTTAAATAACTGATTTTTTTCCACTTTATATGACATCATTGTGGCTTGTAATTTAAAAATCAAATATCTTATGTACGTTCAAAATTTGGGCAACAGCTACTAAAATAAAACATTTGTTGGGGGTTCTCAATTTCTTTGCATAAGCATTAGAAGTTTTGATCAAGTTTGAAAACTTTGTGCAGCAAACCTGTATGTTCCCAAGTACTTATGTTCCCTAGATCCCTATGTTCCCCAGTGCAATGCCTGCATGGTATCAGTATTTTTCCAATTGTTTGAAGAGAAATTTGAAGGGGGGAGTCAAGCATCTTTCATGTACTTTATTATTAACCCCAGGTTAATAAAAGGTG